CTTAGTTTGCTTAGCATTGAGTCAACTTGGTGTTATTTAGGGGATGAACTAGTTGGAGTTCAACCATATTTATATAAACTGTTATAATAAAATAGTATTATTTCCTGAGTCTGTGGAAGAAAAATATCCCTAGTTTATATTTTCTAGTCAAGTAGAAGAGTTCTTGAAAGAGGAGTCCCAAGTTTTTGCGATGTTTGCTTATTTACAAGTTAAAAGTAAAGACAATTTGGTTTATCTACCTGTAGTATGTGTCAAAAATTAAGAAGACGATTTCGGAGGAGAGTAACATGAGTGGTTTGACTATTTATCCTAGGGTTACTAAAATGTACCAAGATCTCAAGAAGATGTTTTGGTGGCCAATGATGAATAGAGATGTTGGGCAGTTTGTTTATGCATGTTTGACTTGCCAGAGGTCAAAGATTAAGCATCAAAAGTCATTCGAACTGATGCAACTGTTGGATATTCTTGAATGGAAGTGGGACAGTATCTCGATGGATTTTGTGACTGGTTTGTCGAATATTCCTAGAGAATTGGATTCGATTTAGGTGATTGTGGATAGAATGACTAAATCGACACATTTCATCATGATTAAGATTTTTTTAATTACAGAAGCTGGTTGAGATCTATATTAATGTGATTGTGAAGCTGCATGGAGAGGACATGTTGAAGGGAACATGTCGTAGAAGCTGAAGAGCCAGATGAAGGAATCTTATCCGAATCTGTTTTCGCCATATAATTTTTTAGGGAAAACATCTTTCTAAGTGGGGGAGAGTTGTAATTTAATAATCTTATCCGAATCTGTTTTCGCCATATAATTTTTTAGGGAAAACATCTTTCTAAGTGGGGGAGAGTTGTAACACCCCGATTTTTAAATTAATATTTTATTTAATTATTGAAGTGATTATGTGTGTTATTTGTGTTATTTTTGTGTGTTGGGGAATGAAAAGGTAATTTAGTAATTTAATAGTTACTGGGATTATAGAGTTTGAGAGTGTAGAAATAAAATATGATTTGTCTAAATTATAAGAGATAATTAGATAACTTTAATTATTTACTAATAATTAGAGAAATTAGAATTTTAGTTATTTTGATTTAATTAAAATAATAGAAATATAGAAATTGTGAGTTATAAGGTAAAATTTAAGTGTTAAGGATTAAAATTTAAAGTAGAAGAAATCTCTTGTCTGCGTGCTTGAACAAGGAAGTATTGAACCAATGGTTTAAGCAGGAAGTCTCATTCTAGGTTGATTGAGAAAGGAAGTCTTGAACCAAGGGTTTAAGTAGGAAGTCTTGATTTGTGTCTTAAGTAAGGAAGTCTCATTCAAGGTTGATTGAGCAGGAAGACTTGAGCAGTGGCTTAAGCATTTGTAATATTCTGATAACAGACTTTATACGTAGTTTAGATTCTGAAGTTCTAAATTCAGAAGTGGAACTAATTTTGGCATACATAATTCAATCCCCCTTCTTATGTATTTTTCTCACATTCGGTTGGCATCAGAGCACGGGATGCGCTAAACACTTTATCATGGTATAGTGGGTCCATCCTGAGAAATTTACTTCTAATATCATGTATGGTCCTTCCATTTCTTATGACTATAATTTTGTTGAGAAAAGTCATTATTATGCTAAACCACCTTCATTCAATGGTGATTCCACTCAATTTGAGTGGTGGAAGAGAAAAATGTATACTTACATCATTAGCCTTGATGATGAGTTATGGGACATACTTGAGGATGTCATTGACTTGACTGTTGATGGTGTTGGGATGGCGAAAGATAGAAAAAATCTTACACCAACCCAAAAGAAAGTTTACTTAAAACACAATATAGTAAGGGGTATTCTGATTGAGGCTCTACCTCATTCTGAATATATTAAAATCATTGATAAGTCTACAGCTAAGACTATCTTTGAATCATTGACTTCCATTTATGAAGGGAATCAACAAGTAAAAGAAGTGAAGTCTAATCTTCTTATTCAACACTATGAGTTTTTCAAGATGAAGAATGATTAGGATACCATGCTTTCTAGGTTTCAAACTTTTGTATCATATCTTGAGCAAAAGTTACACTATTGTTAACCATATAAAGAAGATCTTAAGAAGTCTTTCGGCTAAGTATAGACCCAAGGTCACGACTATTCAGGAGGCTAAAGACATGAATATTATGACTCTTGAAAGTCTGATTAGCAACCTTTAGAGCCATGAAATAGAACTGAATGGGGATGAGCCATGGGTAAAATCCAAAACACTGGCATTAAATTCTATTGCTGGAAGATCTGGTGGTAAATTTTTCAGATCCTCCAAGGTCATGAAATCTGAAGAAGTTTCTGATGCTGATTCAGAAGAGGAGGAAATGGCCTTTGTCATCAGAAGGTTTTAGCAACTGGCGAGAAGGAACAAAAAATTCTCTGGTAAAAGAAATATCTTCTGAGGGTCTAGTTCCAAGGATATTGCAAATGATCAGAAGAGTTGCTTTAACTGCAAGAAGTCTAGTCACTTCAAGGCTAAGTGTCCTGACTCGCAAAAAGAAAGACCGAAGAAGGGAAGCTTTCAAAATGAAAGTTTTAGAAACAAACTCAAGAGGAGTCTCATGGTAACATGGGATGAACTTAATAATGAATGTGACTCAGACAAAGACGATGGAGAGGAAAATCTTGCCCTAATGGCTTTCACACCCTCAGATACAAAATATGAATCAACCTTTAATTCAGACTTTGGTGGAGAAGACGAGGTATTTTCTAAATTATCTCGTTCTGATTTAATCTCTTTTGTTCAATAACTCATGTGTCGTTGTCAAGATAAAGCAAGATATATGAAGACCTTTGAAAAGGAATGTGATCTTCTAAATGAGGAACATAAAATTTCTCAAAACAAAGTTGAATCCTTGGAGAAATATCACATTACTCAAGTTAACAAAATTTATGATAAAACCTTGACTAAGCAAGAAGTTTCTCTTCAAGATTGTACTATGACAGGTCTTAAGAGAACAAAGCTTTCCTCCATGATATATGGGGTAAGCAAGTGTAAAGAAAAATGTTTGAGCAACAATGAGAAACGTGTTATTTCTAGAGCTCAACTCTTGAAGAACTCAGATGCTTCTTCTTCAACAAATGCTCAGACAGTGCTGAAAACTTGGTTTGCATCTGGCTCTGATAAAGGTAAGAGTCTTAACAAATTAGAATCCAAGATTATTGAATCAAAAATTCTGAACAAAACAATACCTAAGAAGTCAAAATCAAAGGTAGTGAAGAGATCATAACCAAAAATTCAAAAGTCAGAGGTTCTGAAGAATTATGAACCCATAAATCCAAAGTCAAAGGTTCTAAAGAGAATAGAACCCAAAACCTATGAACCAAAAGTTCATAAAGGTTCAAATGTCAAAACTCGCCATAGACAAAACTTTTTAAACGAAAAGTCTGAAATGAGTATAGACCCTACTATCAGAAAAAGACTCAAAATAAAAGGAAGCTTGTGAGAACTAACCATAAAGGACCCATAAGAGTATGGGTACCTAAATACCAAATTGTTTTTTCTACAGATTTTCTCGTCAATCCAAACCTTCGTCATCTTATAATCAATTTAATGCGTAATAAACCTCGACTAGCATTGAGTGCTTTTTCTTAATCAAACTTCAAAACACCTAAAAATATCTAAACGATCTCCCGAGAGTGAGGAAATGAGATGTAGTTCTCGCCCTTCCAAACTCTCTCATCACTCAAAATACTTCAAACACATCAAACTCTTTTTCTCGCCGTCGTGCGATCTTCAAACCTTTTTCATAAACGTAAGGTATTTTGTCTTGAGATGACGCAAAACATTACTTCGTCCACAACCATTTGAGTTGAGATAAGATGCTTTTTCTTGTGAATGTTGATATGTGGAAATTCATTCAATGTGATGCAAACACTTGTTTCTCACCTGTTTTGGGTAAAACAATATTTTCTATCGAATGCGACTAAATATATTTCGCTAAAATCGACCAACAAACAAATATTTTCTACCCAGAACTACGTAGCCTTGAATTCTCTATTGCACCTCGAGATACGTATGAGCGAGATTCAAAGTCTTGCCAGACACCCTAATAAAAAATAAACATGTTTGTCCCTTTCTTTTCCCTTTCAATAACTCAAAAAACCCAACATTTCAAAGTTAACACTAACTCGCACAACTAACTTAACGGTTCCCGTTGAGTGGACGTGAGAGGTGTTAATACTTTTCCCTTGCGTAGCCAACTCCCAAACCCTTATTTGGTTGCAATGATTATATCTTATCCTTTTATTTAGAGATTTAATTGATATTTTCCCTTTTTTTTTTAGGAATAAATAAAGTTCGGTAGCGACTCTGTTAGTCCATCCCGCGAGCGTGTGATTGCGCTTTGTGAGGTCGTTCTCATTTTTTGAGATACGGCAGTTTATTAAGAGACATTATTTAGTCAATTTATTAAGATATTTGAAGAAAAAAAAAAGAGAAAATTATTTACACAAGGGGAAAAACACTTTTTTTTAATTAGATCCTCATCTCATTCAATGCTTTTGGATAGAAAACTTAAAAGATTTGTAGACATGTTGTAATCTTTTATTTTATGTAAGAATATTTTGGTAATTCAACTAAAAAAAATAGTGAAACAATCACGTTTTTTACAAGTGCAATGTCATAATAATTGTAACTTGCACATAAAATTGGGGGGTTAACTTAGTGAACCCATTGCGTAGCCACCACCTTTGGCCATTACCGTTCCTCAATAGTCAAACTCAAACTCACGAAAAAACCAAATAATATAGAATTAGAACCAATACGTCACCGTATTAAAGGGTCATTTAAGGTCCACACAATTTTTAATTCAAAACACAAAAAAAATTCCCTTTTTATTTTCCTCTTCATTCCTTCTTCTTCTTCTTCTCTTCTCCTCTCCATTTGGTGCCATTCCATTTCCACGTGGAGCACCGATCCGATCACTCTCCCTTCGTAATTCACCCTCTCCGGCCACTTTTCCTTCCCCGTCATGAATCCCGAATAGTACGTTCCTTTTTTCCCTTCAATCGCCACAATTTCATGATTTTCTATCATGTTTTTTTTCCCTATTATAGTTATGATTACGTTTAATTCAAGCGTTTGGATTTTTATGAGTTAATTTGGGTTGAATTTTCGTTTTTAATAACCCTAGATTGGATCATCTTAGGAATTACGATTGTTTTTTTTAATTAAATTTTGTATTTTTCAAAACACGGACTTTATGATTTTATAAATAAATAAAATTGGGATTGTTTTATTGATTGGTTTTTGAAAGCGATGATTTTACCTTGATCTTGTATCTTATTGGTTTCAATTTGCTTTCAAATTTGAATTGAGTAATTGAAGCATGCAAATGCATGCCTCTGTTTCGTTAGTCCTTGTTTCTCACAAGGACTTGATCTGCTATTGAAAAATGGATTCATGGTTTGAATGTTTTGAAGTGGAATTTCATTATTGGAAATCATCAAACTATGATAGTTTTTTTTTAAAGGAATTTCATAATATCGGCATCGTTGATTGCTTTAAGTTTAGTGTTGTTATAGCGTTTTAAGGCTCATAGTATTACATTTATTATGTTGTTGTAATACATGTATGTAAGTGTTGATGAAATGATTTTGGTTGGTCTTTCGTTGAGTTTTTAAGTTGATTACTACTGTATTAGTCTATTTCAAATGAGAAACTAAGTATGCTCTGTGTATCCTTTGCAGTGATTATCTGTTTAAGCTCCTTCTTATTGGAGACTCTGGTGTTGGTAAATCGTGCCTTCTTCTAAGATTTGCTGTAAGCTGTCTCTACTTTTTTCATATCCTATGTTGCAATTTTGTATTAATTTCTTCTACTAGGTAACCATGTTTTCCAACTCTTCTACACTGATATTTTGTGAAAAAGATTTGCTTGCTTTGGGTATCCCCATTGATTGTGTTATGTCTAAATGGTTAACATTAAATAAGACAGTCTAACGGGCTTCTTGTTGCTGGGTTTGATTATCGCCCAATATGTTGTTAATTGTGAGAGGACATAAAATTTGCAAGAGAAGTGTGTTTGGTTGGAATATAATCTACTGAATGTGGAAGTCTGCAGGACATTGGTGAAGTAGACATTGATGCCATGGAGTTTGAGGGAATATAATGGAGGGAGCTTGACCATGGGGAGGGGGTTGAATAAAATGTATGAAGGGAATTTTGGAAGGCTTAGGCCTTGGTCTGGTCTTACAGCAATATAAAGACTTTTTCCACTATTAACTTTGATTTCTTGCTTTGTTACTAGAAATAGAACTATGCTGTATACTCTCTCCATAGAGCAAGTGGAAATACCAGGATCTATCTATGTGCTGCTGCCCTAACTTTGTTAATGACTTATGTTGGACTTTCCGCCTTACTTGCAGTCCGCCCCTAGTCGCATTAATTGCGGCACTTTGGTTTGCCTCATTGCAGCCCCTAACACCTTCATTGTGTTAGCTTTGAAGGGGTGGATTTAGTCCCACATTGCTTAGAGATATGACATGTGTTGTGTTTATAAGTGGGGGCAATCCTCACCTTACAAGCTGGTTTTGTAGGGATGAGTTAGGCCCAATCCAAATTTCGAGAACTTGAATTTATGATTTAGCAAAGTCATCTTACTTAAACTTCTTTACCCCCATTTTGGTCCATCATGGTGATGTCATACTGCTGCACTACAGTAATTTAAGTTATTAACCTTTCGATATACTACAGGATGATTCATACATTGAAAGCTACATAAGCACTATTGGAGTTGATTTTGTGAGTACAACATTTCAATTTTTTTTAGCTTGAACTCATTTGAAACTGTGTCTTGATATTGAATTTAAAATATCATGTTCTTTTGTGCAGAAAATACGAACTGTTGAGCAGGATGGGAAGACAATTAAACTACAGATTGTATGTATCTGAGATTAACTTTGTTCTGCTTTCTTTATTTGCAATAATATTATAATCTCAGTAAACCTAATATAATACCACTATGTTTTAATCTTTCATAGAAGATATTTTTACCTTTGAGGTACTTTTTTCGTCATTGTAATTTTTATTTATAAGATCATACTGAGTTCCCAGGCCATATGGGTCACTGAAGTTCAAGGTTGAAGATTGTATTGACAGATTTTATTACTCACCTTGTTTTACAATATGTTCTTGTAGTGGGATACTGCCGGACAAGAACGATTTAGGACAATAACCAGTAGCTACTATCGTGGGGCACATGGAATCATTGTGAGTAATGTTTTTTCAACATTAGAGTTTAAACACGGAATACTCCTCTGCTGGTTTCCGGATATCTTTACATTCTCTAATAACTTGTTCCTTTGGCAGATTGTTTATGATGTGACAGATGAAGAGAGCTTCAATAATGTGAAGCAGTGGCTCAGTGAAATTGACCGCTATGCTAGTGATAATGTTAACAAGCTTTTGGTTGGAAACAAGAGTGATCTGACAGCAAATAGAGTTGTATCATATGATACAGCCAAAGTATAACTTTTTTTTTTTATCTCACCTTCTTTTCTTATGAAGGAAATACTATTTATTGTGTGTTTCTCTTTACCCTGGATTATGTTCATCTTCTGCTCCAGAACCCTCATGCTACCTTTTTTCTGCTGTATTACAGGAATTTGCAGATCAAATTGGCATACCTTTTATGGAAACAAGTGCAAAAGATGCTACAAATGTGGAAGGGGCATTCATGGCCATGGCTGCTGCCATCAAGGATAGGTGCCCATTTTTCCTATTTTCTATTTAATGCAACCTGTCCTTTTAAGTAGGCTCAGGCATAAGTTATTTTCCAATTTCCAGAAAAAATTACTAAACTTCTTTACCATACCAATTTTCTAAGTTGCAGTAGTAGTCTACTTCACATTTTCAGTTGCCAAAGCTAGAAAATATAGTTTTGTTTTTAATTGTGAACTTATTCATAACTGTCAAGAATATTAACAGTACATTTGCTAAAACTAATGGCTGCTGTTTTTTGAGCTTGATTTTCAATTTTTTCCTTGTTACTTTTGAAAAGTACTATAACTTTTTCACTATTGAACATTTATTTATCATCTTGTTCTGCCATTGATTCCTTTCAAGCACGTTTTGTGATGGTAAATTTATCTTGAATGTAGAATGGCGAGCCAACCATCCGCAAACAATGCAAGGCCTCCAACAGTGCAGATTAGAGGACAACCAGTTGGGCAAAAAGGTGGGTGCTGCTCTTCCTAACCAGATTGCATTTCACTTATTGGTCTGCTGCTTGCTGCCCTTTTCATGTAAGATTTGCTCTGTCACTAAATAGTGGACCAATGTCACATAATCCATTGTGTGGTTTCAGAATTGGCTTAGATTATCCCATTCTTTACATACACTTGAATGGTATGTTTGTGCTATTTATAGTACTTGTGTTAATGATAAATCTATGTTTCTGCTCATAGTGAGATGATGATGAATGATGATACTGGTAGCAGTTTTCTTAATTTTCTTCTACTCAATTGCTTTGAAACGTTCTGCTGTCTTGGGTGATTAAGATAGTGTGAGACAATGGAATAAAATTATATCCAATGAAGGGTGATTAAGATTAACCCATCCAAAGTTTTAAAGCCTACTCACATGTCATATTTAAGTTATATACAGTTTTTATTTAAAAAAGATTAGGCGTGTTGATATTAATGATAAATATCGTTTATTAGAATATCTTTATTAATTATAAATGTTTCACTGTTATCGAAAAGAGACATTATTTTGGAAAAAAAAAGTGGTAAATGAGACATATTTGTGAAAATGAAAGAGTATGAACAAGTATTGATCATCCACCAATAATGTAGTTAGAGTAATCATAAAAAGTTTTGGTAGTATTTCCTAGTATATTTCTAATTTACCAAGATGCAAATTTCAACTTGATTGCATTTGAGCTCGAATAGGTTGCTTCCAAAACGCAAGTGCAACTTCCAAATTAATTGCCACTTTCCAAATTTGCATATGGTTTCTATTTAGACAATTTTTCTTTTATGAAACTTAAAAGAGAATAGTGGTTTATATTTAAAGACGATTTTACTTGTTTATTATTCAATGAATTAAAAAATAAATTGTCTCTTAATTAGGTCCAGAGGGAGTATTTGTGTTTCAACTACTTTGAACTTTTTCTTTTTCTGCTATGATTAGAAGAGCTCTTGATTTATTCACCACTTTATTATTTATAAAATGAATCACACATCAAAATCAGCATTTTAAAGAAAAAAATGACTACATACCTTCACCATTGAAAGGTGGGTTTATTTAAGGAGAAACCTGATTTGATTTAAAAGAGATGTTTGAAATCATCATATTTTCTGAAACGATTAATTTTAAAACATGAGTTAGACTTTAATAACATTTGTTAGTTATGTGACATCAAATACAAGAGGAGGTGAATTATTTTCAAAAGTAAAAAAAAAATAGAGAAGGAAAGAATACACCAAAATTTATTGGTACAATCCAAAATCATAGAGCCTACTATAATTCCAAGAATTTCTCTGAGATTTTCAATATCATAAAACTTTTAACTCAAAATCAACTTTCAATCTTCTTCCAACAAGCTTTTAACTTAACTTTGGCTTACAACATTTCTAACTTATCAAAGTTTCAAAAGAAAATTTATCTCCTAATTTATTTACACGAGATTTCTTTACAGTGTTTAGTCTCTCAACACTAAAATTATATTTTTAAGTGAGTATGAAAATTTGAAGCTATTTACTTAAATTTTGTGTGCTTTTAAATGAGCACAAGTCATTTGATTATAGTAAAATATTAATATAAAAAAGTAAATTTTTGAAGACCAAGATTTGATCCATATACTATAATCAAATATTATCTAACAAATAAGGAAATTTGTTGGATCAGAAACATAGTCAATTATTAGGTCTCCATAATTGACTACCAAAGAATTTCACATCATAATCTATTTGACAAGTCCATTATTGATTATAGTATCAGTTTCTCTAAATAATTTATTATAAAAACTTCCTAATTGATTATGATCTATTTCAAAAAGTTTTGCTCAATCTAAAGTCATTTTTAGAAAGAGTTTCTTTAGAAAATATATGAAGTTTTGAAAAAGAAATTTAGTGAGTGTGTGTGACTAGAACAATAAGAGTGTTTCAATTTTTATCGGTGAAAAGATAAGACAAGTGAGCACAAAATAACATGGCCATCTTTTAGCATATAGGTTTGTTTCTTGAAGTTGTTGTTAGGTGAGAATGTAGATGTAATAAGGTCTAAAAGGGAGTTGAATAAATTGTTCTCCTTAATACCAATCAAATTAAAAAATAATTACTTTTTTTGCAAAATCAGAGTCAAAGGCGAAAACAAAAGATGATGAGCAGAAACAAGTGATAAATGAATTGAATATGTTTCGTTATTATTATAAAGACACAAGATCAAACAAAATCATTAACTCAAATACACTTTGAAGTTTTTTAGCAATCAATTTAAATTCATAAATTTAGAGTCACTACACTCTTAATTTAAGAGATAAATATTCATTAAATTAAATGCATTACCTACCTACACTTATATTATAAAATACTATAAGTAAGATCTAATTCTATATGATATTTTAATGATAAATTTTGATCAACATACATGATATGATGCAGAAAATTAAAGAGATATAGATAGAAGAATGTACATAGGATATATAGAAGTTCAATAACCGCCATCGATATGATAAAAGTTAAAAATACATGTATTTTGATACAACGAATTACTATAACACTAAACACTAGCAACCCAACGCTTTAACAAACACGAATATAAAAAAAAAACTTATTGATGCATATTACTCAACTGCTAAGATTCAAGATCTTCAATGATCTTGATCCACAAAATTTGATAGACCCAATTACATATTTCAAGCTTCAATTTTGCAGCATCTTTTATCCGGGTTAGACGAAATTTTGTCTCAGCAATTGTTCTATCAACGAATGAAGACATCTCTCAACTTTGTTCTGCGTGGGATCCGTCAAAGTTTTCCTTGAAGTACGAAAAAAAACTATTATCTTGCATGATAAACATCAATAAAAAATGAACAAGAAACTATTATTTATCCTAATACAAACAACAAAACTTCACACAAAAAATATTAGATTCCCTAATGTACCTCGTTTTATCTCTCACACTCAATCTTTAGAGTTGAGACACATAACAATTATTTCTTGATATGAGGTTGGAGATTATGAATGGTATCTAAAGGATCTCACACAATACAACTGCATAATATTCACACTCTCAATTCTTAGAAGGTTTCTCACAAAGTTGAATTTCACAAATAGTTAGTGGGTGAATGGTGAAATTAATTCATGACTTCGCTCAAGTTTCTTGATAAAGATTGGTTTTGGGTTTAGATGAATTTTATGGGTTTTTAAAACTGAAAAATTCAAAGTTGTATCAAGAGTTTTCTCTCAATTGTGATCACCACTTCTAATTCATAAGTGCCACTGACTAACAATTTCAAATACTTATTATGGAGATGTTTAAAGTGTTTAAATAAGTGTTAGAGGTAAGGCATAAAAAGAAGGGAAATAAACAATGAGATTGAATCAAATCAAGAGTTATTGTGATTTGAATCATAGAAAGAATGAAGTACATAAAATGTAATGCAGTGAAGAAGTTTGTTACTATTGATTCCAATCACGTCTGGATGTGTGATTTAAGTCAAACAATGTATGATTCGAATCACACTTGATTTGGATGACTTTGATACGAATCAACAATCATGTGATTCGAGTCAGGAAGTTTTGTGATTCAAATCACAACCTTCTCTACTTCGAATCATATTGACATAGTCAAATTCTTCAATACCAAGTAAGTTTCTGTTTTGAATCATAGATGTCTGATTTGAATCAAAAGTTCCAAATACCTTGATTTAAGATTTCTAACTGGAGATTCAAGCAATACTCAATATTTTGACTTGCATCTAATTGTAAAAAGGTTAAAAATATTTATATGGATTTAAAACTAGTAGATTAAATGAAGAGGGGGTTTAAGGTACATATCAAACAAGAGACATATTGTTACACGTAAATCAACTATCTATCTATTAAAATTAATTATCAGCAAACTTCCAAATATGTCATTTCCTTTTAAAAATATTGTACTATCTAAAATTCATATTTTGTAATTAACAAATGTTATATAATTTAAAACTATCTTTGTTTACCACCTCATTCATTTCTCCTTTTTACCTCCAACTTTCTCAGTCTTCCTTTTCTTCTCTTAATTTAAATTTTAAATTTCTTCTACATTTCTTTTTCTCACACTTTCTCATTTTTATTTTAATATTTTCTCTCTCTATTTTTTTAAAGTATAAATCAAAATTTAAACCCCTTCTTAATTTAATAAAAAAGAACACAGAAAAATGTTAAATTTTCAAAACGCAAAATTTAATCTCAAAAGAAGAACATAATTATATTATAATTATTAAAAACATGACAGACTATAGTAAATTTAAAAAATTTATTATTTTTTATTTTTCTACTCCATCAAAAATTTTAGGTTTTTTCCCCAAAAAAAACAAAGTTAAAAGACTATAATCCATGACATATATTTTTTATAAAATAGGTTATAAATAATCAAGCTAGAATTTATTTATATTTACCATTTTCACATTGAATTATGGTTAATTATATGTAAATATATTCAATATGTTTCTTCTCCATCACCAAATTTTATCTTTCTTCGTCAGTAAGTCACAGAGTTAAAAAGACTATATAACATAATAGATGTAAACAATTTTTATATTTTTCTTCTTCTCCGCCACCAAAATTTTGGTTTGTTAACCTATAAGAAACTAAGTTAAGAGACTACAAATGAATCACCCAAAATAAATAAATATACATAACAATTGAAATTTAATAATCAAGCTCAATATTGTTTATATTTAACGTATTCACGTTGATTTATGGTATATCACATCTAAAAATATTAGATATTTTTCTTCACCATTGCAAAGTTTTAGGTTTTTTATCACTATCCAAAAAAATGATAGACTATAGTAGATGTAAAACATTAATTATATTTTAATTTCTACTCCATCACAAAATTTGAGGTTTTTCCCCACTAAAAAACAAAGTTAAAAGACTATAATCCATGACATATATTTTTTATAAAATAGGTAATAAATAATCAAGCTATAATTTATTTATATTTAACATTTTCACATTGTATTATGGTTAATTAGATGTAAATAT